ACAGTCCTTACCTTCAAAGGATCTTACACTCTTATTAGAAGGAATAACTAGCATGCCTTCAAATAAATTGTACTTAAAGTCAATTCTCCTATGAGACATATCACCAAACTAAGCAAAATTACAATAAAAACCACGAGGCAAATGGAGAAAAAGGGGGTTAGAAGCACAACACTCAAAACGTCATTGTTGACACATTATAAAAACATAGCACCAAATAAAAACAGCATGGTTTCATACATGTTAAATGGTTATTAAAAAATACTTAAATACTACAATAAATAGTCTGTAGCCTCAGGTGGCCACTCAGCCTCCACCCTGGTTCCCACAGGGCCTGAGCTGGTCAAGTCACATCACTTTGGGGCCTCTGCCATTATAGAGAATGAGGCAAGGGGAGAAGCAAGCCAGTTTTCCTTAGCCCACAGCTCCTACTCCATCAGATAGATAATGAATATGATGCTTTACTTTGAAAAGGACCTGAAGTTTGCTTTTGGAAGTGGGCATCAGAAAGGTTTTAGCTTGTGATTTATTATGAAGTGGTACAGTTTTGTGTTTCGCTGTTTCAAGGATGTGCATAAGCAAACACAAAATTCACAAAATGCTCCAATCATTCCCTAATACACCAAATACATCAATCATGTTGGGACACATTCACATTTTCAAAATAAGCATCACAGCAGAACTAATTGTACTTGGATTCATGCTTCCACCATACAAGGTACAAACTGCTGTCTGGGTGGGCCTTCTCCATCTTGTACTTTTGAAATGGATTTTCAACCCAACTCATATCTCTATTAGATTCAGCCCGATGTTTTATACTACAAAGATATTTTTGAATCCTGACTCTGTCATCCAGGACCTAGTCATCCTCTTAGCTTAGTGTCATCTGTGCATTTGATATGCATATCATTTATGCTTTTATCCAGATCACTGACAAAACTATTAAATAGCATGCAGAGATCTTGGGCATTCCACTGGGTCACCGCAGCCATGGAACCATTAACAACTATTCTTAGGATGCAGCCATTCAACCAATTCTGAATCCACCTAGCTGTACCTAGCCCGTATCTAACTAGCCCAGCCCATATCTCTCAGCTTTTTCCACAAGAAAGTGAAAAAGCTCATGTAACATGTGAGAAACAAAATATAACAGAAAAACGCTTCTTAAGTATCTAAAACAAAAGAAAGGGACAAAGGAAATTGTCCCTGTGATGAATAGATCAGAAAACTTACAGCAAGATAAAGAAAATGCTGAGGCTTTTTTAATGTGTATGGTTTTTTTTTTAATTTTATTTATGAAAAAGTTCAGCTCTTTCAGATTATTTGGAGTGAATATCATTTGTAATGGGAATAAATGGAAACCCAACTCATGTGAATCAAAGAGTATAATACTGAGAAAAGATGGATGTGTTCAAATCAGCAAGTCCTAGTGACATCCATCTTAGTGTCCTTAAGAAATCAGTGAATATTGCTATAAAGACACTGACTGAGAAATATTTGGAAGGTCAAGAGAAGTACCTGAAGCCTGGAAAACATCAACTGTCAAGTCTATCTTAGTGATACAAGGAAAAGAACACTGGTTCTGGTCCTTAGTCTGCCACTGATTTAATTACTAGAGGGTACCCTCTGTGTATTGTCTATGACATGGGGAAATAACAACCACTCTAACAATCTCCCAGGGTTGTTTTAAAGATCAGATGGTTGTGAAAATAAATTGAAAATACGGCATTTTACAAATGTAAACTTATACACTAGTCAAAAACCTTATATCATGCAAAAAGATACTAGGAAAATCCAGCAAAAAGAACAAGTTATTAGAGGACAAACAAAAGTAGTTTAAGCTAATCAGCCAATTATGTCTGCTGGAATTAATCTTACTAACTCACTCGTTCAACAACTTTAGTTTGTCCTGTAAACGGGGACAAAGGGAAGGAAATAAATGGTTCAGGATGGCTTTTCAGTTTGTTCCACACGTTCATCAACAAAACAGAAAAATCTGTCAGGCTGTATTATTGTTAAGTGCTGCACAACTGTCTAGGATCACAACCAAAGAGTGATTGCTAATGGTTAAGTGTTATGAGCTCTTCATTATCATTTAAGGTTAAGTCCAAAAAACAGATGAGACTAGAATGAAGAAATTTAAAATGTGTTCATTAAGTTGGCAAGTGACACTAAATTGGGCAAAGGTTACTTTGAAATGGAAAATAACCCTGATAACTTAGAGCAATGTCTGTCAAAATTATGACAAAGTTCACTAAAATCAAGGAAGGAAAGAAACAAGCATTTATTAAGGTCCTGTTTGTGCCAGACATGCTAAATGCTTTACAAGTTTCTCATTTGATCCTCACAACAACCCTGAGAGGTAGGTGGTATTACTATCCCCATTTTACAGAAAAGGAAACTGAGGCTGAGAGAAATTAAATGATTTGCCCAGGGTCACACAGCTAGTAAATGTCTGAGGTTGATGCAGGCCCTCCTGACTAGTGACCCAGCACTCTCTCCACTCGGCTACCTGGCTGTCTCCCAGTGAAGGAAAGTTTATATAGCATGGAGAACATACATATAGGTAAAGCAGATGGAGAGGGAGAGAACTGGATATGAACAAGTATAACCAGAAATGTCTTATGGATCAAATCTGGACACAAGTTAAATACGGTTGTTTATATACATGAGCCACAAGATGCCGTGTAGACAAATCATTGGACTGAGCAGCTGGGGACTGCTTTGTGACTTTCAATGTTGATATTGCCTGGCCATGTGACTGTGAGCAAATCACTTTACCTCTCATTTTTCCTCACTGCATGTAGGGGACATGACTAGGAGCAGACAGTCAACTTAACAACATTGAAGGAGGAGTTCTTTGTTCTAGCTTTGAAGGTCTCTGCCTATATAGGGTGTGAACATCTCCAGTGTGACTTGAATTTGATACTCTGGGTCCATCTCAGTGGTTCTTGAATTATGATCGGTCCATTTAGGATGATTATAGACCTGGGCCAAACCCTTGATTTGCGCTGTCGAAGGCAACAGCCAGATACGGTAGAGAGACCAAAGTACCAAAGTCAAGCTGGGACACGGGCAAGAGGTATAAAAGAAACTATTCACAGAGAGTGGGGCTTGGGCCCACATAGTCTGCCAGGGAACCTCTCAGCCTCAGACGTGGTAGCAGTGGAGAGGAAATGGCAGCAGTGGAGAGGAAATGGCAGCAGTGGAGGAATTCCCAGAGGAAAAGTCATATGGCCCGAGGGATAGCCGCAGGGGGATAGCAGTGGAACGATGAGAGCTCTTGGACCGAACCTCCTCAACAGCACCGAGTTCCTGGTCCAAAGCAGGGCAGTTCCAAGGCTAAGAAGGAATGGCCTTCTGTCTATTGGCAAGAAGGAATGACAATAGAGAGGTACAATATGGTGGAACAAACAAACTTTACCTTTCATTACTACTTTGAATTCTGCAGATGGCACTGGTCCTGTAAGAAGGGAGATGACTCTCTAGCAACCCCAAGAGCATTTTCCTTCTGGGGAATTCTCAAATCAGTAAAATGGGTATATTTGTTATACCTAGTCCATAAGGTTGTTGTGAAAGCACTATGCAAATGTTATAAATATTCTATAAATATGAGGGGAAATAGGGGAAAAACAAGAATTAAATGGAGAAAGTTTAGTTAAAATGTAAGGAAGATAAAGAAGTGTGTAATCCCTATATATATTTAAAATAATATGATCTTGGATGGTTTATGCATTTATCTATTTGGAGGTAGGGAGGTTAGATTTAACATCAGATTTCCTTCTGGATTAAGTTCTTTGACTTATTTAAAGTAACATCGGATGAAACTAGGACTCAGATTTCCTACCATCCTATCATCAATATGTGATTTAAAAAAAACAAACAACTTCCTTTCCTAGTTCTTATTCAGAAAGCAGTAGAGTGATGCAGAAAGTAATAAAGTTACACCAAAGAGTGCTGAAACTACGCTTTTTAGTTAAAAATAGAACTGAAAAGAAGACTAATACAACTTGATTTCGTGGTAAATACAGTAGAATTTGGGGAGTAGGGGTAGCAAAAAGAGGAAGAATTATTACATCACATTGAGTTTTTTTAAGGAAAGATGAAAAAATATTTGTTCTAAAGCTACTGATCACTCATTTTGTATGTTAAAAAAAGTTACTTAATGTATTTTCTCTGAGATTTAAAATATACAAAGGCTTCCAAATCTGTCACAATTGTTTTTGTAAACAGTCTTTCCTAATCCTGTTATTTAAACAAAAAAAAAAGTCATTTGTAGTGCCTGTGTCTCTTTTTAGACTACAAACAAACCAAAGATTTTTCCTTTTGAAAGTTTTGCTCACTAAGATACTGTAAACTTTATAGATCTAACCAAATGAGCTGTCAGCTATGGTTAGTTACCTCTCAGCTGACAAATGGACCCCAGGGAGCGATATGATCTCTTTTTGGACACTTTGGTTCCAATACATATATAGCATAGAAGGGTATGTAAGGTATTTGGCATTTTCACACACAGTGTTCCCTGTTCTTATTGGAGTATCTTTTAAATCAATTTATACATTTACTATATTAAACATGTTTTAAAAAGACAAATTGAGTTCACAAGGAAAACATCTATATTAAAACCATTATTAAAACTAAAAATTTCTGATGTGATTGTTTTTCAAGAAATCATTCTTATAGAAAATATCACAAACACAGAATGAGAAAATATGGCATTATTCCCAAATTTTGGCAACTATTTTTCTGGAAGTACACAATGCACCACCACCTCGCACTCTCCTTCCAAAAACAGGCTGGATAACATCTGTTTGATTTATATACTGTGACTTTTTCCTGGTGTTTTCTATCAACCTTAATTGTGAAAAATGGTGCCACGTTGCCCTCTTGATATTATTTTGGAGATCGGTTAGGTCTTAAAGCATCCAGATGCGTACAGTTCTACACATATCTGTGGAATTAGCTCACTAAGGTCTGTTTGGCCATATTTTTAATTGACTCACATGTTCTGTGGGAAAAGGAGAATCATAAAAAGTCTTTGCAATCGCATTCCACTCTTCCCTGGGATCTCTCTTGGGACTTGGCTGGATACTTGAGTTAGTCCAAGTGTCAGCCTCTCTGTTAATGCTGGTAGTATCTGATTGACAAAAAGGAAATGGAAACAACTGCATTTTATTCTCTAGACACTCATTTTAGTGACTGAACTTCTGGTTTATCTCTGATCATATGCTTTAAAAAAGTAATCAGATTCCGATTTTATTTTTACTATGAATACTTTACTGTTTTCCTATACTTTGATCTTGTACTATGGCATTTCATTTAGCAAGACAAGCAGAGAGAAAGATGTTCAAGCCTAGGCCTTTCTAAAACCTGATGATTACTGTCTATTAACAATTTAAAGATATAGAGGCTATCACAAATAATACCAATAAATACAACTGAAATAAAATTAAGGTGATATCTTCTGAAACAATATAACACAATAAAAATGTTATCTTTACTTCTATGGATCACTTCATTGCCTACACAAGCAAACTTTAACATCAGGGTGTTTTTTTTGGTTTTTGAATATACATGAATTCAAACTAACCAGGGAGAAGGCAAATAGAATTAGTGGACAGTTGAAATTATAGAACATGTTTAAAGATATGCAGTCCTATTAATTTAGAGCACATACAGCAATTAATAAATACAGTCTAGTAAGGCTGATTGGAAATGATAGTGTTTGAACACACCACTGGAACCACAAATCCCAGAAGTACTGAAAAAGACAGTAAACAATTCACTGTCTAGAAAAGGTCCTTAGGCTTTAATGAACAATATTTTCTAATTAGCTAATCAATGTGATACCATTAGGTAAATGTTTTTATAAAAAATGAAGGCATTTTAAAAAGTGATTCTCGACAATAGTGTAAACATTCTCGCCTTCATCTATTTAAAACTTAATGTGAATTTGAAGAATTTGTAAGGTAAAGTTTGGCTCAGCTCCTGTCCCAGTTTTCACAAATTCCAAATTCATGAAATAATCCAAATTAATTATTACTATTTAGTAATAACCTTACTCTGGAAAAACAAATATTGACTTTGTTTTGGCAAAATTTATTTTCAATAGTAGTTTCTACTTTTCCTGTTGAGAAAATGGGGGTCAGGACTCTAGTACCTGGATTCAAATCCAGCCACTACACTTCTTAGCTGTATGACTTTGGGCAAGTCATTTTATTTCTTTAACCTGCTACCTCATCTGTAAAATAGGAATAAGAATCCTCGTGCTATCTACCTTATAGGCATGTTGTGAGGAAAGTGATTTGCAAACTGTGAAGTGCTATGTAAATATGAGCTGTTATTCTTCTCCATGCAATATGGGACAAGCCATGTAAAAATAAGCATTTTTAGATGAATGTAACTAGTCCATTAAAATACATGATAAATGACCCCTAGAATAATATCATGCTGTCCCACAGTCACTTAGCCAATTAATTGTGTAAAATAAGAATTGAATAGTTAACTTCGTCTCTGTTCCATGTAAACATGGTCTCACCTAACACTGTGCTTTGCCAAAACCAATTAAGGACATTAATACATGCACAGCACAGTGTCTGGCACATCGTAGGTGTTTAACCAATGCATGTTAATGTGACTTGGCATTAGCTATGATATGCTTGAATATAAATTCTATTGATGAAACTATATAATTTAAATAGAAAAACTATTTTTCTTTTCAATTTTACAGTTTCCTTTAGAAGTCCATATCTCTAAGGGGCAGCTAGGTGGCACAGTGGATAGAGCACCGGCCCTGAAGTCGGGAGGACCTGAGTTCAAATCCGGTCTCAGACCAGACACTTGACACTTACTGGCTGTGTGACCCAGGCCAAGTCACTTAACCCCAATTGTCCATATCCTTTAAGCCTGAAAGCACCAGAGAACCATTTTTAGAATCTCCACTCCCTTAACTAGATAAATGCATTTTGCTAAAATGGTACAATTCACTTAGGAGCTAATCCTACTAAAACTCTAGCGTGAGATTACCAAGAAAAAAATAAACAGGATTTTCCTCATGATTATGTGATATTCAGAACTATAGCATAATTATCATGAATATTTATAAAACATCCATTATTCATAACATAATGAACAATGTATTATTTTCATAAGCTATATTTCAAAAGTTATCATTTAAAAATTTATAACTTTTCAAATTATAATTTTAGCATCATAATATGAATCATAGAATTTGAGAGTTGGAAGGGCTGTAGTTGGACATCTAGTCCAACCCATACTGGAAAGTGATCCCCCCATCACAGATTCAGCAAGTGGTTGTTGAACTTAAAGAGCTCCAAGGAGGGGTGACTCCCGACCTCTTGAGGCTGCCCATCCTACTCCTGAGCGCTCTCCTTGGTAGGAAATCTTTCCTGACATCAAGCCTAAATTTGCTTCTTCTCAGCTTCCACCCATTGCCCCTAGTTCTGAAGAAACTGAGTGTCAGGCACTGTGCTAAGCAACTGGGATACAAAGAAAGGTAAAAAACACAAACGTGGTCCCTGCCCACAAGGAACTCACGTTCTACTGGGGGAAACATCATGCAAACAATTTTGTAAATACAAGATCTGTACAAAGTAAATGGAAGATAATCTTGGAGGGAGGGCATTGGAGGGGGATAAGCATGGAGAAGGAAAGGCCTCCTGTAGAAGGTGAGATTTGAGCTAAGTCAAAGGAAGCCAGGAGGTAGAGGTGAGAAGGAAGGGCATTCTAGGCATGGAGTTTGGAGATGGAGTGCTGCGTATGAGGAAAGGCAAGTAGACCAGTGTAGCTGTATTGTTGTATACATGGAGAGATGTAAACTAGAAGTCTCAAAAGGTAGAAAAGGTTGAGATTGTTCAGGGTTTTAAATAGTAAATAGTGATTTTATATGTAAAGTAAAATGACAAGGGGCAGACTTGTTGGGAGCCCCTAGTAAGGCCCTCATCACCTCTCACCGAGATGATTGCCAACAGTCTTCCAGTAGGTTTCCCTGCCTCGGGTCTCTCCCTTTCCTCCTCCTGTCATTACCCTCCATTCTCCACCCAGCTGCCAAGGTGTCATCTTCCTGAAGTCTAGGCATTGACCCAGCAATTCCTGGGTCCTTTCATTCTCCAGAGGGCCCTCTCGAAGTTCCTAGTTTGGCTGTTGCTTCCCTATTTGGTCTGGTGTCTCATCTGGACAGGTTAATACATGGCAGGGCTACGCCAGGCAGATCACTTGGCCTCTAAGCTGCTACCAGACTGGACCAAGCCGCTATCTTGCCCCTGGGCTCTTCCCTTAAAGGGCATAGTGAATCTGCTGCTAGAGCCAGTTTGCTAGATTCCCTGGGTTTGCTTCAGTTGGGTGGTACTGAGTTCTCTTCAGCTGGAATGTTACAGTGTTCTTTTCATCTCAAAAGCTACTATTTTTTCATGTAGGCCAACACTCAATCCTTAGCCTAGAATGAACAGAAGATGCTCCTCTTGGAGTCCCTCAGATGCTCAGCGCTGAGGCCAGTCACCCAGCAGATTCTAGATTAGGTCCAGGCTCTCCCTTTGGACAGCTTTTCCTGGTTCAGTGTTAGTTTCCTCAGCCAGGGACTTTCTTAGCTTATGGTGAGCTAATACTTCCCAGACTCCTGGAGCATTTTGTAGATGAGAGGCAAAGGTATGAATGTATCCATTTGAACTTGAATACAAGTTCATTGTCTCATTAGCCTTTTCATATACAACAGAACAAACCTCAGGCCCTAAGGTGTGAAATGTTTCTTTCATATCACTCCCCCTTTATATTTCAATGTCTCTGTCTTTTAGCCCTCACTACCTTTTGCTAAGTAAAAGAAAGATCATGTTTAGTAGGTTTCTCTCTTTTCTCACAAATTTGCAGCATGTGTTTATTTTTTTTTTAAATAGGCTTATTGAATCTTTTGTTTTTATATCACCTATATTTCCCAATGTATCTCTCCTTTCCCACCTCGCGGAGAGCCATCCCTTATAAGAAAGAAGAAAAAAAGAAGGAAAAAAACAGTGCAGCAAAACTAAACAAGATGTCAAAGAAGTCTTATATTACGTGCAGTCTTCTACACTCATAGTTTCCCTCTCCCTTAACTCTGCAAAAAAAAAAAAAATAGGATGAGGATACACATATATTTCAATAAAGGACTTTTTTTTATCTTGCCCATTTTTCTTTTTAGAGAGAAATTATTTGCTAAAATTTTCTAAATGCAATTTTACTTCCTGTTCCAAGCTGATGGTGTTGGTCCAGGTTTGCTGCTAAAGGAAAATGATAAGTCTTCATGTAATGCAACTTTCTCTACCTTTTAATGAGGCTTAAGGAAAAATACCCCAAGTTTCATAAGTTAATTGAAACTTGATCTTTCTTAGAAAAAGCAGACCAAAAGATTTGAAACATAACCATAATTCTAAGTCAAATTATTTTTCCTCTTACCCATGACAGCATCCAGGCCAAGATTTTGACAAAGTGTCTTTGAAGGAATCTTTTTGTTTTCTGATGAACCCACCAGTCTCTCTTTTAGCAACAAAGGCACCTTGGAAGCCAAAGTGTTCATTGTTTGAATTTCAACTTGATTTACTTTTGGCCAAGGACAAGGGTCTAAAAAATTTAAGTTTACTGGAGTTTTCTCAGTTTCTTTATCTGAAGTTGAAAGATCAAAGGCTGACCTTCCACTTCTGTTTACTAAATCTCCAGATGGCTTTATGTGAAACGAGCAAGATTCTTCCAGCTGTCCTTCAATATATTTTCTTTCTGAATCTGTGTTACTTAATGAGTCTGTTTTCTCTCTTGTACTGTTTAACAATGTATGCTGCTGTGCCTTAACGTGACTAACAAGGAAGGGGTCATTTTTTGCGATGGATTTGTCCTTAGCTTCACTCATCTGAGTATCATTCACTTGACTCTCTTTGCTGGAAAGACCTGCTGTGCCTGTGGTGGTTTTCCTGATAGTAAGCTTTTGAATGGTACTTTCCACATCTTTGGCCTGTGAAACATCTATATTCTGCGAGGTAACTTGAAAACGACAGACGGTCACATTTTCATCACCTTCTACCTGCTTAGGATCATCCTGTTTGGGTTGATGGCTCTTTATTTCATTCAAGTTTTTCCAACCAACTATTTCCCTTGGACTTGGGGTGGTTTTTCCTGAGATGGGCATCATATTAAAGGATTTTTTTGGACTCTCACAATATACTTTCCTATTATCATTTAAGGCAGCAAGTGAATTTGGGTTATTAATTGTTGTACCACAGGTACTATTTAGGTCCATTTTCCCCAATGTATCACATGTCTGTTGAGCATAAGAACAAGTTTGCTTATGTTGTGGACCATCACATTCTCTTTTATACAATGGATGTGTTTCATTTGATTTATACTCTTTATAATCTGAGACACAATAACTGGAATCCCTTGAGCTGTCCTTCAGACACTCAATAGAATTATCTTTTGCAATTAGGGAAAGATTCACTTCAGCTTCTTTGAGGCCATTATTTGGAATTTCTTCATTTACAGAGTCTTCAGTGCCAAGACTCATCCTGGATTCTTGTTTGGATGTTTCAATCCCAGAAACATCTTCACCACATTGTACATTACTCATGTCATGATTGGTGTCAGGAAGTTTTTCCTGGACAGGCTTGCTACGACCAGTTTCTGAAGCCGCATTTGCACTGTGGAGAGTGAACTCTTGAGTTCTATCTTGAAGAATCCTCCCTGTTTCCACTGATATTTCTGTTATTGAGTAAGGATTATTCAGTGTCTGAAATTCCACACAACCAAAACCTCTTTCTAAGCACATTTTGTCTTTTGTTTGTGTAGCTTCTGCATTTCTCAAGCCAGCAGTGCATACTCGCCAGGTCTGCCCTTGACGCAGTAAATCTTTATCTGGACTGAAAGCTTTGCTTTGGGAACTTTTAACCAGTTTTTCTTCAGAGAGTTCTTCAGTTTTTCTTTCTTTAGTAAGATGAATTTTTTTCTCATTGTTTTCAAAAAACTGTAATTCTGCCATAAAGAGAATATACAAAAAAGAAGTCAATAAAAGAATACCTGCTTTTGTTTTCTTTTTTTTTGTCAAATTTAGTTCTAGATGCTATTTCACTAATCAGTAGAACTCAAATGTAATTATATCAATGTCATTTAAATACAAAAAATGATTTTAAATTTATTGACATTATCTAAATAGAGAATGGCAGTTTCTTCATATGCAAAAAAGGGAAAATAATACCAAGAGTAACTGGTCATGAGGTTTTAATAAGATAATAAATGCAGAATATTTTGAAAATTTTAAGACAGTATATAAAATTTCAGGACTTTCCTGGGCCTCACTTTCCCCATCCAAAAAATGTAGGGATGGACTAGATAACTTCTCAGGTTCCTTCTATCTTTAATTCTGTAATCTACATAAAAGACACAATTAACTTGCTAAAGAAAAAAAAACAAACGAACAAGGTAAAGATATTTAATGCTATTCAAACTAACTTGTAAGTATAATTACAGAAACAGTTTTGGTTGAGAAAAGCACTCATATGTAATCTTATATTAAAAAAGGTAATTAAATTATTTAATTAATACATACAATTGACTTCTCTAGACCGTTATTTCTTTTCATGTGTACAGTACAATTCTAAGCATTAACTGATTATTAAAAGACTAATCTGTTTGATGGGTTTTGCTCTAATCTCCAGCACTATCCAGGTTTTTCAAACTTAGGACTGTGCATAGTTCAAAGTTGTCAAATGCTTTCTTGAGATCAGAAATGTACATTTTTTTACTACCTTAATCTTTCAAACACTAGGAATGGTTTCTTCATACAAAACTATTTGGCTTGCACAAATTGAGTAAAAATATCTAAAATCAGAGGAATCAATGATAAATCTGCTCATTTTTGCTCAACTAAGCACTGATTACAAATTATGAGTCTTGGATTTACCATTTAGAAAACCTCAATACCTAAAGTTGTCAAGTGGTTGGGTTTTTTTTTAATTTCTCTAATTGAATGGCTTTTGGCTTCTACTACTATCTGCTCTAAGAACTTAGGCTAAATGAAATGATCCCATCAACCACAAAACCTATGAGTTCTTCAAAATGTTTCTCACATAGATCTCTTGCTTTCTTCTTCTTCTTCTCTTCTTTTTCTCTTCTTCTACTGCTACTACTGCTACTGCTACTACTACTACTACTATTACTACTTTGTTTCAGGTGCTTATCCTGTCATACCCTTATTGTAAAGGTCTAATAACTAGTTTCCTTGCCCTGATTTCTCTCTTCCACAATCCATACTGCAAATCACTGCCATATTGGTTTTTATAAAACAGTGCTTTCATCAAGTCATTACTACTCAAAAATCTTTAGTGGTTCCCCACTAGCTTTGGAATAAAGTCTAAATTGCCCAGCTTGACCTTCTACAATCTGACCCAAATTTATCTTTATAGCATGACCTTTGGCTACTCCCCTACATAAATCCTCTGATCCAGCCCAATTGGTTTATTCATTAAACTCCCCAAACATACAACCTATTTTCCAACCTCCCTGTCTTTGTTCAGACTGTTTCCTTCTTTAATAGGGCCTTTTGTCTTCCTCTCCAACTATTTAAATCTCATCCATCCGTCAGAGTCCATCTCATATTCTGCCTTCTCTATGAAGCATCCTTGATTAGCCCTGTCTAAAATGAGTGATTTCTTCTCTGAACTTCTATATATGATACTTAAGCTCTAAACACCTCATTTGGTCTTGTATTATATTGGTTGCCTACTTTATAATTTCTAGTTCAAACATTTTATCTTCCCAACTGGAATGTGAGAGTGTTGAGGGAAGGAACCATAGTTTATATTTCTTTGTTATCTCCCCAGAAGTAAAAGAGTGATCTCAGCATGCAGATATGAAACTATTAGTTCAATAATATTACCTTCTGAATTTCTCTCTTGGTCTTGGTTATTTTTTCCTATTAGTATATATTCAATGTTTGAACAAAAATTCATGGTATTTATTGCAGTTATTTCTTGCTGAGGATTCAATTCTTTACCATTCTGATATAAAATAGAAAAATTGGTTTGAAATTTAAAAAGAATTATAAGAACATATAGTATATTTATTTGACTATGAGACTAGACTTAACTGAATGAAGTGGGATTTCAAATCAGCAGTTCACATTTGTCTGTCTTTCTTTTCTTTAATCTTTCAAAAGACAAATGATTTTGACAAAAGTTGGTACACTTACTGTGGTCATCATAGGGTATTCAAATGGGCAAATTAGGTCTGTATTTCACCTAACTACTAACTAGTATGTTAAGGGCTAGGCATTACATTATATTGTTGGAATATTAGCATCTTAGTAATAATTTTATGATTGTCAGTTCTCAAAGGATTAAAATAATTGCCCAATTACTTGGTCATATGTGCTATTCTACATTTCCTTCTATAAGCAAACAGACATTCATGCTAGAATTACTTGCAATTAGCCACTTTCAAGTTCTGTGATCTTCATGAATAATAATGATTTGGCAATGATAACGTCAGAAGTAAATATTTTAAGAAGCCCAACTTTGTGAAAATCATGTAAAAATGTCTTATAAAACAAAGTAGGAGTAATCATTTACATGACCAAATAATTCACAAAAATCACAATCTCTAAGAACTGGAAGGAACCTCAAAGGTCACCTAATCAAAGCTGAACCTCTATTGGATTCTCCTTCACAACACCCACAACAGGTCAAAAAGCCTTCACTTTAAAACTTCAACCAGGGGTAACCTGTTACCCCCAAAGATGGTACATTCATTTGTAGATGGCCCTAATTGTTAGGAAGTTTTTCTTTAGGTTCTGAGCCCAAATCTCCCTCTTTGCAACTATCGCCTACAACCCTCAGTTCTCCCCTCTGGGGCTCACTAAAGGAAACCTAATTCCTCTTCCATATAACGTTTTCAAACCCTTGAAGACAATCATTCCCCCGGTTCCAGAGTCTTCTCTAGGCTGAGCTACCTTTTAATTGATATGAAGATATGGTATGGTTTTAAGAGACTTCATCATACTGGTCCTCCTATCTGGATGGCTCCAGCTTGCCAATAACCTTTGCAAAATGAGGCACCCCAAACAGAGCATGCTATTCTAGATATGATCTGGTGAGAGTAAAGTATAGTGGAAGTATCATCTATGATCTGGATGATACTATGCCTCTCTTAATGCAGCCTAAGCTCACATTGGTTTTCTGGGCTGACATTTTGCACTGTTGGCACATTCTAAGTTTTCCATCCCTTAAATACCCTAGATCTTTTTCATATAAATTGTTGCCTAACCATGCCTCCCCTACCTTGTGAAGTAAATTTTTTGAACCACAGTCAGGAACTTTACATCTTAATTAATTTCATGTTACCAGACTTAGCTCATTGTTTTAAACCAAAGAGTGGATCCTGACTGCCATCCACTGTGTTTACCATCCCTCTCACCTCTGTGTTACCTGAAAAACTGATAAGCATGACCTTGATTCCTCACTCTCCCTTACTGTGCATAATCAATCAGTTACCTCCATAACATCTCTTGTATCTATCCCTCTTTCTCTGCTCTCATGTGGCCAACACCCTAGTTCAGGATCTGATGGTTTCTCCCCCAGACCCTTACAATAGTCTTCTACTTGATCTCTCTGCTGAGTCTCTCCCCTATCTCATTTCATTCTCTACACAACTGCCAAAGACATTTTCCTAAAGCATGGTTCTGACTGTGCCATTTCCCTGGTCAACAAATTCCGGTAGTTCCCTACTATCTTTAGGACCAAATATAAATTCTACTGTTGGGCATGTAAAGCACTTCAACAAATTGGCTCCAATCTATCTTTCCAACTTCAATTTACATTAGTTTTCATCACACACTCTACTGTCTAGCCAAACTGACCCCCTTAATGTTCCTCATGCAAGACACATCACATGCTACTCAGCTTATTCAGGCTATCCACCATATACCTAGAATGCCCTCCTTCCTCAGCTCCCCTACCTTATAATCCCTAGTTTCCTTCTAAGCTCACTTCAAATAGCACTTCCTACATCATGAGACCTTTCCTGATCCCCTCCCAAAATTAACATATTTGTTTTGTTTATATTTTGCATATACTTATATGTGCTCATATTCCTTATGGACAGGGACTGTTTCATTTCTGTCTCTATATCCCTAGTGCCTGGCACATAGTAGGCACTTAATAAATGCTTGATGATTAATCTATGTTTATTATCAGAATAAAGAATTTTAGTACTTCTAACTAACTTAAACAATTACCAATCCTTATTTAACTAAATCTAACATTATAGACATTTTATTTTCCAGAGTCCAAGGCCTTTCTAGGCTATGTCATTCAGTGCTTTGGTTCCCAAAACTGCAGAACACTTACAACATGAATGTTTGCCACACTGGTTTATGGTCTTTGTTCTATCTGGCTTGCTTCGTTCACTTGTGGTTCTGCCTTTTAAAAGCCTTGGCTGCTTGTATTATCAGCAGTAAGTATCAGTTTTACTTGACACATTTCTGTATAGTGGCAGTTGCTGAAGGCACGTCTTTTCCTTTACCCATCACCCCTTCCCACCCCCCACCCCTGTTTCCATATCACTCAATAGCTCCAGCTGGCTTTTTTCCGTACACTAATGTTCTTCCATCTTTCCTTGTCCCTATCACAACAGAAACAAAATCAACATGTTATACAGTTATATCTACTTAAGACCCCACAATTCCTGCTTTCTAGTTGGGACACAGGAACACCGTTGACCAGTTTTTTAACATAGTTTTTTAACATAGGTGGGTACTTATGGCTCTTATCCACTTATTATTCTTATAGGTTCTCTTTCCCCAAAGGTTATTTAATATTCAATTGAATTTGCCTAACTAAACCGAATTTTATCATCCCTTCCTGATGTGTTCCTAGCACTGTGACTTGTGCATAGTAGAAGGCATTATATTAATAATTTACACATAATGGACCCTGTTTGTTGAATGAATAATTGGATACTTCTAACAATTTCATAACTGATTATTATTTTCCCTTAATGGAACAAACCTGTTTTCTCAACTGAACACATTTTGAATGGACAAAACAATTCTTAAATAACTATAATGACTTTCTAATAATTATAAAACTCATCTAACAATGGTGATGTCAAATTCTGTGATAATTTTTAAAATAATATTAGTCATCTTCAAATGAAAAACAAAGGAAAACACCAGCAATTTTGTTAACATTTAATAATTATGCATTTATGTGATGTTTTAGAATTCTGCTCTGCTTTTCAGTAGCAATAAATCAAATTAAATAATGAAAACAGGGGTAGAAATTTCATGATTGAATATGAATTGAGGTTTTTTTAATAATTAAAAAATTTGCTGAAATCCACAAAAAGTTATTAATTCATTGGAAACCTAATGGCAGAAGACCAGTTACTGCTCTAATCATTTTAGCTAGTCATGATCAAATATTAAAGGCTGTAAAAAATGGGCACACATTTTTAAGTTACAATATATATACAATATAGCTGAAGTAGGGGGAAATCTTCAATAATGATTTAAATTTTTTGCATATTTATACTCACTAAAATACTTAAGTTTTACCTGAAGCTTATTATCTTGCTCAAAAAATACATTCTTCTGAGAAGATAATTCATTACAGCTTTGTTGTAATTTAAGATGAGCTTCTTTAACTGACATCAACTCATTTTTAATCTCATCTATTTCTTCAATGAGTTTTTTCTCCTATAATAAAATCATAACAAATAAATAAGACAATTTAAGTTTTATCTGAAAATAAGAAATATCTACTGTGCTTGAGTTAACATTTAAAAATATTAATGACACCGTGACATTTTGGAAAATGATTAAAAATAAAACAACTTCTAAGTAATATGAAAAAGAGTTTTTGCAAAAAGTAGTAAATCAAAAAGTATAAAAGGTTATTTGCACATGTTTTACTTCATTTATTTCTAAAATTTTGCAGTACTTATTTCAAATTGCATTTAAATTAATTTACCCTAGTAAGCTAGTTGAGAAGTACTATGTGTTTGGTGGAAGTTTAATTGAACCTAACAACTATAGCCAACATTTGTTCACACTGGTCATGAAAATTCATAAACTTCTCTCAAGGACACCAGTTCTTCAACAAGTAAAATCCTACCCACAAGAAAGTCCCTCCTGGCAAAAAACAGCCTGAAATAATTCAGGGTTGACCTCACTTACCTTATCAGTAATGAGCTTCTCCTTTGGACTCTACACTTTGCAAACTCGCATCACATAATATACATTAGTTATCTGTGTATGTGTCTCATCCCCCTTTTAAACTATAAACTCAATGAAGGCAGAGACTATGAACCTACAACTTTTCTTTCACAATGCACAGAGGGCAGTGCTCTTTATGTTTGCTGTCATTTAACTTTATGTTTTATTCCTTCCTCATCTCTCTCTTCTCTGTTGCTTTCTCTTTCTGAATCTCTCCCTGTCTGTATCTCTGTCTCTCATTTCTTAATTTAGTTCAAGATTCATAGACTCAGGTGGATTTAAAGACTGTGTAGTTGACTTCATTCTACAAAGGGAACTATTTTCCCACTTTTGGCTTTATGCTTGCATGACCTAAAATCCAGGTTCACTATATACCTAGCCAAAATACAAAGTGGTATGCATAACACAACTCTTTCAAGTGCTCAAAAATATTCTATACATAATTCAATATTCTTTTATAGAATTTGATTTAATTTTTTTGTCAACTGATTATTTGACAAAAAGTAGAACTGGTAGTATAAAGCATTAGTGACATAAAGCATGACTTTATTCACTCATATATTTTCTGAAACATTTTACCTGTACCTTCACAATTTTTTTCAGGCATTCCTAGATTCTTAGTCATCTTCTTAGAGTTAGTGAGAAACCACATGTGGATCAAAACAGAAATAAAGAATATAGAGCCTGTCTCCCACTCCAAAACATTTGCTTACAGCCATGAACAAGCTTTCTCTTATTAAACTATTTTCTATTTAGTACTGAAATGCTGAGGGAGTGGGCTTAATTGTTGATGAAGCTAGAAACTATAGGATAAAACTGATTTCTTACAATTTCTATATGTGGAGTACCATGAGTAGATATGAATGTTAATTTTTTTAAAACTCAGTTGACATTTTTATGCAGGTGGAATGTTTAGTACCATATTCTCTTTCTCTATTATAGCTTCCCTTATTCTGTTCTATGGTGTCTTAGTTAATGTTATTTTCTGTTCATTTCTCTGAGTATGCATTAACTATGATCAACAGAAATGGAAATAATTATGTATGTTGCTTGACATTAAAAACTAAACTTTACTGAGTGTAAAGTAATACTACTATTTTCTAAAGTGAATTTAGAAAAGATTAACAATGTAACTTACAAAAAAGGTATGAACCAACCATCTGCTTTTTATTCTAATGCAATAGTTAATTGGCAAATAATATCCTTTAAATTAATTATAATCACATCCAATTATTACTGGAAACTATGATGCTGCAACTGAATTGAAAAGGTAAAAAAAGAACTAGGTGTACCAAATTTTAAGAATATTTGTCAAGCCAAACTATTTGCAATGGACATGCACAGGAAGATGCAGAGGTAAATAAGATATGGTTCCTGTCCTAAAGTAGATCAAATACAAAAAAGAAAAAATAACCAGGAAAAATACTGCCAAGCTGGTATACAGATAAATTTTAAAAAAAGAAAAAGAAAAAGGATTCTACACTCATGTCTGTAACACTAATAGTTTGAAATAGTCTATTTACTTTCCAAAAATATTTTTTCCATATGTTTAGAGACAGTGAATTTTATTATATTAATCCTTAATAAAGAGAACAATTTAAATAGATATTTAAAAAGTAAAGCTAATTTTGGGGTCTACCAATCTTCAAAATGAACCTTCATATTTTACAACTTTAATTTACATGGCTTTACATCATTATTTTATTATGTACTTCACTGAAATTAAAATTAAGAGCAAAAAATCTGAGATGCAGTTTAGGAAAACAGCAAAGTCTTATGATAAGACGGTAAAACATATGAAATTCAGATATCATACACACCCTCTAAACATGGCAATCCATCATACACTGCATCATAGCTAAGGAAGAACTAAATAGCTTAGCTGCCAGTAAGAGCATCTGCTAACTATTCAAACTATATGCTATAATATCCACTACCCAATGGTTTAATGGAAAAAGTAAGGAGACTTCTGCCTTCTGCACTGTAGAAGGCCATACAGGTTTTGTGAATGTACATTTATGTGTGTTTGTGTGGACAGTGAATTCTTAGCTTTCCAAACTCAACAGCATTAGCCAGAATTTCATTGAAATTTAGCTTTTCAAGAGCATTTCTGAAACAAAATATGTCCAAGAACACCCAGAGTGTCTGATTTGGTTCTTGCATTATTTTTGCAATATAAGTAGTTAGCAGTTATTTGAAATGTTTATAACTATTTCAAAATCTGTTTAGCACTGTAATTCTTAGTTTAATAAACCTACATGTTTTTCCCAAGTTCCTCGTGCTTCCTCATGCTTATTTTGAAGATTAAGGAACTTTTCTTCATTTTCTTTTACCTTCTTCCTTTGCAGCTCATTATCTCTTTCAAGGGTCTGCAATAAAATTAATTATCCAAAAAATAATCAATACCACATTAATGAATTTTGATGTGTTTTATGTTGCTTGGACCTTTGCTTCTAACATGCTGAAAGGGCCATCCAGAGCAGTGATAATGTGCCATCTCAACAATCATTTTCATAAATTAACAGAAAGCTGCTTATAGTTTAGCTAACAGGAAACAGGGGGAGGTTATGGAAAAGAAATGGCTATAAAAGGGTATAAAAACATTGCCATTATTCAGTTTCACTGCATAAGTTTTAATGTGCTGAAAAAGTATTATAAAGTACAGAGCTGGGAAATATGAAATGTAGCATAATCCAACCTAACTGTACTAAAATTAAAATTTTAAACTATCCCATAACATTTTTTTCGTATTCAAATTACTAAAACTAAAATACTTCTTGGAATAATTTTAATTTCTCATTTTCAAACTGTTAATGGTGTTTTATAGGAGTCTAAAATTTTTATCATGTTTATTTAGTTTATTTTGATTCATGAAAGAGAATCCTATAAAAAGGCACTAAAAAGTAAAATATGCAGCCAAGGTTTTTGAAGCTATGAAACCAGTGCTACCAACACTAGTAAGGACTCCTTGATGTCTGCCCGACTATCACATTGATAAAGTTAGCATCTATAAATCAGCAACAAGAATTCCTTCCCCTGTTTCAGGTAGGTTTGTAATGTTGAAACTGTGATGTACTTTTGCCAAATAAAGACAAAAGGGTAGTGACTATAATAACCTGATATGAAACTCTTCAGGGCCGTAAGGTACTATGTGCCTGCTCGGCACTCCACAAATACTTACTAGCTAACAATCTGAACAACTTTTCATTGCATCCTTTTCAGGAGAATGTCCGATATGTATTTTTATCCAACAATGTTTTTTAGTCTTCATTTCTAGGTATAAATAATAATGGGAAAATTCTTGATCTATTTAACAATGATTTTAACAGGTGTATAATCACACCCTCACAATTACCTTACAATATGAAGGCAATATACTGCACTTTTGAAGAGAGTGGGTACATCATTATGCATATGAAAATAGGAGGGACATGTGGGAGAATATACCATAGCTCCTATTTAATTAAGCAATAGTACATGACTGTATGATGTTTTAATAATAGCTAACAACCACATAGAAGATTTCATACAGAAACATCCAAAAGTGCTTACAAATGGCATAGCAATCATTTCACCCACAATGAAACTCAGTTGAGTCTAGAGTCAAAACAAGGGACTTTAAAGGCAGAAGTAGTGCTAACTGGCCTCCTAGGGAAAGGCAGGGCAAAGAGTCAGATAAAACAGAAACTATAGGAAACTTGTTTGGGATAATTACCCACATGACGCTATGTGTCATTCTGAGTCAATTTCAACTAAAAAAAATGAGCATAAAGGTAGACATAAGTGGAAAATTGCCTTTTTACCTCCTAGGCACTGGGCTCCTATTACTAGACCAGGCTATGTTTCCTAGGCTTGCTATCATTCTCCTGGTGTAATATTTGTCACTGTGGGAACAGAAATCTTAGGTAAGTGGATAGGAGATAGGAAGGAAGTAGCAAAAGTAACGTCTGCCATCAACCCACCAGTTAGTTAGAATGCAACTAGGAATCACATTTGAAGCCATCAACAAATATACACTTTGTAAAACAAAAACAGAACAAGTCTGATTGCAGAAATTGTTATTACTTAACATTAAAAAAATGGACCACCACATAAGACATTATCTAGTCAAGAGTGTTGATTCTGTTGATTCACCATGTGCTATACTTTGAACTGGTTTTGTTTCTTGTTGTTGTTCTTTGTTTCTTCCCTAATAGGGATAGATTTGTATTCATCTATCCACTTTCTTGTGTATCTTCCCTGACAAGAAATGGCATTTGAAAGGTGGCTGCCAGCAGTTTGTGGCCACAGAACAGAGTTCAGCTCCCAGCCCATAGAGCGACCAAATCCATGCTTTGAATTTCATTAACACCATACAGTTCAATGAAGGAAAAAGACTGATGCTTAGAGCCAAACTTACAGGGAAAATCTCAAAGTGAACAGAATCACTAGTACAATTTTGTATGTTATTTCATTAGTAATTTTCCATGATAGGTATTTTCTTATTTCTACTTGTAAATAAAGGAAATTATAAATACTGTCCCCTTTCCCCAGTGTTAAAAGGGCACAGCAAAGTAAAGGTATTTGCAATCCCAGGGAGATTCTACACATAGTTCAGTGGGCATCACTGTCATTGTGGAAGTTTTAGAAACCCAGCTATCTTGTCTGAAACAAAGTATTTCCTGAAGAACTGAGCTTTTATTCAGCAGATCTAAGTTTGACCCATCTTTGCAACTTAATAGTTCTATGATCACAGATAAGTCACTTAATCTCTCAATTTTCTCATTTATAAAATGCAATAACTGCTCTACTTACCTCTCACAGGATTATTTTAAAGCTCAAATGATGTCATTAATGTGAATGTACTTTGAAACTTTGTGTATAATTTATTTGTATTATAGTATTTTAATTGGTTCCAATGGAAAAAAGCAAATCAAACTCTATTTTTTGACATACCAAAATATAAACTTTCCAGGTGTACTGTGTAGAAACGATTACTGATCTCAGATTGTTCTTTTCTGTCTCATCCATATCCATATATGTTCATATATGTATATGTATATAAATATATATGCATACAAATATACGTACATATATGTGGGTCATAATCACTGTCAGCTATGCAATCGCTATGACATATGAACTTCAGAAATCAAGGTCAGAAATAATAAAGGAATAACAATAAAGAAGGTCAGTAATAATAAAGGAATAACAAATATTGCTAACGGAAATAATCTAATTAAATAGTTAAATCATTACTGTTATCTGTCTTTTTTAAGCGTTTAGCTTTATGTCATATTTGAATTTAAGGTATCTTTATGAATTATTCAAGATTACTTACACTTGAATAAACATAGAAGTTAAAACAGCCTCACTTCTACTTCGTATTGTAATGGTCTAAACATAAGCTACTACAAGTTTCACTTAACAGCAACTATAAGTATATTATCTTATTGAAAACCACACTTACAAAACTTAACTATAGTAACTGCAATTAGTTACATATAGTTACATATACATATAGCATATATATATAATATATATATGTACATGGTATCTCTATAGGAACTGTAGTACATATAGTTATACACTTACAATTTAAAAACATTTTTGAGTAAAATTTTATCCATCATGAGGATTCATGTCTCAGCACTACTAAACTGAATGGCTAAAAAAGCAAGATAGATGGCAGCATGAATATAGAGCACCAGGAAACAGTAGGCTATTATCAAGAGTAATGACCCCTTTTAGTACAGGTGGAATTAGAGTTCCCTTTGAGCAAAACACTTGAGACACATGACAGCACAATCCACAGTGTCATTCTAACATTAATATATTATTATACCCCATACTACACAAGCCTATCAAGGCTTATGGAGGGGTGCTGGACCAAGAAAGATGTATTTAGTTTATATAAGACAGGGATATTCACAGTTATATGACTCTGGAGCTACATCTACCATCAACTAAAAGAGTCAAATTACTCCTGTATAAAAGTATAGTATTATAAAAATTTCCTATATTTATGGCAGAGTCACATGAAGCTCGAGAGGGATCATCTAAGTATCATTGATCTAAGAAAAATGCTATCCTACATTGAGCGATCTGGTAGGACTAAGAGACTATATCTCCACAGCATCATTTAATGGGAAGAGCATTAACTTGGACATCAACAGAGCTTCACTGTGATTCTGAGTCTGCCTCTAACTTATAGTGTGACCCTGAACAAGTCAATGTACCTCCTGGGGCCTCAACTGGTTCCTCTAGAAAATAAGCAAGTTGGACAAGATGAATCATAGAACCTCTGAATTTGAGTTCTCAGGGGACATACACTACAGGCTCTGTTGAAATCAGGAATCCCATCCACAACTTTCCTATAATGGTCATAATGGGGAACTTACTATACCTGAGGCATATCATTCCATATCAATCATGCAAGCAACAGTGATTAAGTGCCTACGTGAGGAGGGAGAGAACTCTAGGCATGAGGGATAGTCAAAGAAAATGTCCAGGGCTGAGAGATGGAATGCTTTGTTTGTGAAACAGCCAGGAGGCAAGTGTTAGTAGATTAAAGAGTACATGACAGGGAGTGAAATGCAAGAAGACTAGAAGGGTAGGAGGGGGCTAGATTATGAAGGGATCTGAAAGCCAAAAAGAGCATTTTGTATTTGATCTTGGAGGATAGGGAGCCACTGGAGTTTTGAGTAGTGAGGTGACATGATAGGACTTGTGTTTTAGGAAAATCATTTTGGTAGCCAAATGGAGGATGGACTGGAGTGAGAAAAGATGAGGCAAGCTACTGCAGTAGTCCAGGTTTGAGGTGATAAGGGCCTGCACCAGGGTGAGGGTAGTGTCAGAGGAGAGAAGAGGACATTTTCAAGAGGTGTTGCAAAGGTGAAACAACAGGCCTTGGCAATAGACTGGATTTGGGGAGTAAGAGATAGTGGGGAATGAAGGAAAAGACTCCTAGGTTCCAAGCCTGAGGAACTGGAAGGATGGTGTTGCCCTCTCCAGTAATGGAGAGAGGAAGGGGGAGAGGATTTAGGAGGAAAGATAATGAGTTTAAGATGTTTACTGGACATCCAGTTTGAGAGATTGGCGATCAGCAGAGAGGTTTAGATAACTCTGTTGGTAAGTTTTTAGTTATGTTGAACAAAATCTGTCCCCCTATAACTTCCATACTTTAATCCTAGTTACAAAATAATTCAGGTGTGATCTGACTAGGGACTACCATATTGCTTGCTTGGGAGAATATTTCTATTAATGCAACCTGGGATCTTTTAGTCTGACATTTCATATACAACACTTATCAAGCTTAAAATCAACTAATACCTCTAGATCTTTTTTACGTAAAATTCTGGCTGACCACATATTGCCCATTCTACACTTGTGCAGTTGATTTTTTGAACCCAAGTGCAGGACTTACATTTATTATTAGATTTCACTTTATTAGCTACAGTTTGCAGTTCTGACCTAGGCAGACCTTTGTGGCTCCTGATTCTATGATCAAATATCTTAGGGATCCTCACAGGCTCAAGCCACCTGCCAATTTGAAAAGTAATGCTATCAATGCTTTCATACAAGCCACTGATAAACAATTTGAATAAAATAAAATCAATGACAAAGTCCTATAATTTTAAAGGATACTCCATTAGAGACCCACCCACTCCCTGGTTGAAACTGATCCACTGATCAAAGCACTTTGGATTTGACTCATCACCACTGAACTCAACTGATTCTACTATTGTCCAGTCTAGCATTCTAGTTGTCCACTAGAAGAGTAGCAGGACAAACTTGGTAATGAAAGGCCTTGATGAAATTAGCATATGCTACTTTCACAGAATTCCTCAGATAGATGATGAGCAGTGATCCTGTTACAAAAGGATAGGCATTGAGCAGAGCACAATTTGTTCTTCATAAACACATCCTGAATCTTAGTGTTCACAAATTATCCTTTTAATAATTCAATCTCTTTCTGAAACAGAAACAGAAAATTCTATTTCTGGCCTTTGAGTCTGTCCCGATAAAACAGCCATTATACTAATAAATAAGGCAGGGAAACTATTTAGAACATACTGTTGTTAGGAAGAGATACAATGGATAGAAAAATATTCCTAAAAAAGAGTTATTGGTCTTTTCAACTTTTTCAACTTTTCAACTGAACATCTACAGAAAGCAAATAATACCTAGGCTCAAAATCAGAGATTGAAAGCAGGAAGAGATCTTAGGGGTCATCTAGAACAACACTTTCCTTTTATAGATGAGGAGAGACCCAGAGGGGTGAAGTTCCTTATGACACAGGTCATAAGGGGCAAAAATAATTAAACCTAACGTCCACTAGCTCCAACTGCAGAATTCTCTCCACTACATCATGCTACTTCCTGTCATTTAGAATGTGACTCAATGATCTAGATGATGAAATAGAGTCTGCTCTTGAGTCACTAATAGTATGTTTAACACCCCGTGTTAAAATTCAAAATGACCCCTGAACTTATATTGTGTGTTTGCGTATAAACAAGATAGGATTCATTAGCAAAGAAGCATAATGAACAAAAATCTAACCTGATTATTGTCTTTCAGTGCTTTTAATTCTGCCTCCATTCTGACATTATTTTGAGTCTGTCGCTGAAGTAATTGTTGAATGTGTTCAAAAGAACTGATGATTCCCTTTTAAATAGAAAGTATATATTATGAACATCATAAAATATAAACAGCATAGGTATATTATCAAAACTTATTTTCATTACAATCTTTCAGTTTCTTTAAAATATTTTCTAGCAGTTTGGTAAAATAAGGCATAGACCCAACATGTCATACCACACACCAAGATAAGCTCAAAATGGATACATGATTTAGACATGAAGGGTGGTAACATAAGCAAATTAGGGGAGCATGGAAAAATGTACTTGTCAGATCTATGAATAAGGGAAGAGTTTATGACCAAACGAGATAGAGAGGATCACAGGACATAAATGGATAATTTTGATTATATGAAATTAAAAAGCGTTTACACAAACAAAATCAATGCTGCCAAAATTAGAAGGAAAACAGGAAACTGGGGCAGGGGGAGTGGGAAATTTCAGCAAGTTTCTCTGATTAAGGCCTCATGGAAAACTGAGCCAAATTTATAAGAATAAGAACCATTCCTCAGTTGATAAATGGTCAAAGGATATAAATAGGCAGTTTTCAGAAAAAGAAATCAAAGGTGTTAATAGTCACAAGAAAAAATGCCCTAAATTACTACTGATTAGAGAAATGCACATTAAAAGAGCTCTGAGATACCACCTCAGATCTATCAGATTTGCTAACATGACACAAAAGGAAAATGACAAATGTTGAAGGGGATGTGGGAAAATTGGGACACTAATGCACTGTTGGTAGAATTGTGAACTGATTCAACCATTCTGGAGAACTATTGGAACTATGCCCAAAGGCCAATAACATGGTACATACCGTTTGACCAGCAATGCCACTACTAGGTCTGTATCCCAAAGAGATGAAAGAAAAGGTAAAAGGACCCACATGTTATTGTTTTTTTTTAAATTTTTTTTTTGGGTTAGGCAATAGGGTTAAGTGACTTGCCCAGTGTCACACAGCTAGTAAGTGTTATGTGTCTGAGGCTGGATTTGAACTCAGGTCTTCCTGAATCCAGAGCTGGTGCTCTATGCACTGCACCACCTAGTTGCTCCTAAAGGACCCACATGTACAAAAATATTTATAGCAGCTCTTTTTGTGGCAGCCAAGAATTGGAAAAGGGGATGTCCATTAATCGGGGAATGGCTAAACAAGTTGTGGTATATGCATGTAATGGAACTATTGTGCTATAAGAAATGATGAGCAAGCAGATTTCAGAAAAACTTGGAAGGACTTACATGAACTGATACTGAATGAAGTGAGCAGAAGCAGAAGAACATTGTACATAGTTAACAGCAACACTGTGCAATGATCAACTTTGATAGACTTAGCTCTTCTCAGCAATACAGTGATCTAAGACAATTCCAAAAGACTCATGATGGAAAATGCTATCCACATCCAGAAAAGAATTATGGAGTCTGAACGCAGATCAAAGAATATATTTTCTCTTTTTTGTTGTTGTTGTTGTTTTTTCTTTCTCGTGGTTTTTCCCTTTTGTTGTGATTCTTCTTTCACAACATGACTAATGTGGAAATATGTTTAATATGATTGTACATGTATAGCCTATATCAGATTGCTTGCTGTCTTGGGGAGACGGAGGGAAGAAAGGGAAGGAGAAAAAATTTGGAATTCAAAATCTTATAAAAGTGAATGTTGAAAACTATCTTTACATGTAATTTGAAAAAATAAAATACTTTTAAGTGGGAAATTTTTTAAAAAAAGAAATGATGAGCAAGATGGTTTCAGAAAAATCTGGGAAGGCTTATATGAATGGATGCAAAGTGAAGTGAGCAGAATCAGAAGAACACTGTACACAGTAAGAGTAATATTGTAAGGAAGAGCAACCATGAAAGACTTAGTTACTCTGATCAAGACAATAATCTTGGGCAATTCCAAAGGACCCACAAAGGAAAAATGCTATCCATCTTCAGAGAAAGAACTGATAAACTCTGAGTGTAAAATGAAGCATACTTTGTTTATTTTATTTTTCTTGGGTATTTTTGTCAGTTTTCTTTCACAACATAGCTAATATGGAAATATGTTTTGCATAACTTCACCTGTATAATCAATATTAAATTGCTTACCTTCTTAAAGAAGGAAAGAATTGAAACTCAATTTTTAAAAAAAAAAGATATTAAAAATTTTTTACATGTTATTAGGAAGTATTTAAAGAAATAAATAAAAATATAGTTAAAAAATGAAGCAAAAGAAAGCTTTTTTTTTCCTTTTTGGCTAGACAATGGGGTTAAGTGACTTGACCAGGGTCACACAGCTAGTAGATGTTATGTGATTGAGATTGGATTTGAACTCCGGTCTATCCTGAATCCAAGGCTGGTGCTCTATCCACTGTGCCACGTAGCTGCCCCTGAAAGAAAGCTTTTTGACAGAAGTTAGGCTTCAACTAGCATCCTATACCATACACCACAATAAATTCAAAATAAATAGTCAACCAAAATGTAAAAGTTCTCATCGTTTTTTAAAAATTAAAGGAGAATGGCAGAAATCACCCTTCATAGCTAGGGGGAGAATTTTTAGCCAAACAAGGGATGGAAATCAGAAAAGACAAAATATACAATCATATTACATAAAAATATAAATCTCATACACAAACAAAATCAATGAAGACAGAAAAAGGGAAACTGTAGAATGGGAAAATTATTTGCATCAAATATTCAAAAGGATCTGTGATCTCATCAATTGAAAAATTCCCTCTAGCCCCTGAGATCCTTGAAGAATGCAATGCTCAATACCAAAAGAAAGCTGCAGCAGAATACCAGATAATACAGATCAGGAAGAAACATCCCCCCCCACCCCCTTCCCCAGATGTGTAGAGTCTAGAATTGAAAAAAAAGTTCCAATTCAGGAGCTAAGCTTAAAAATGAGTAAACAGAAAAAGGCACCAGGTCCAAGGATGGCCAGGACATAAACACTAAAGAAAAGGATAACTTTATAACATCTACAAGCAAAGCCTCAAACAAAAATGAAGCTTGGCCACAAGGTATATGGAAACACTAAATGAAAGGATGAAAAGATAGGGAAAAAAATGAGAACTCTAAAAAGGAAAGACTTGGAAGGAGAATAAATAGCTTAATACAGGAGATTCAACATCTTACACAAGTAATAAATAAGTCTTTAAGGTTTAGATGTCTTGTCTTTGGTTATGTTGGCAGTTGCTTTTCTTGAAGGGCCCCTCTTTCCTATTGTCCCTGGATTTCTTGCTTGCTTTTTCTGCAGTTCTAGGGTAAAAGATGATACTGATGAAGGGGACAGCTAGTTGGCACAGTGGATAGTGCACTGTCCGTGGAGTCAGGAGGACCTGTGTTCAAATGTGACCTTAGATACTTACCAGCTGTGTGACCCTGGGCAAGTCACTTAACCCATATTGCCTCAAAAAAAAAAAAAAGAATGAAAGATGATACTGATGGTCAAAAAGCAGGACCAACCATCCCACCTAAAATTACAGCAAGGGATGGAAACTGACCCTGGAACAAAGTTGTAATTCTGGAACTGAAGCTGGAGAGATGAGTAAATTTTTTTTAAAAATCTAACTGTATAAACATTGTTGAAAATTTAACTCCATAACAAATGCAAGCAGAAGAGGGAAAATGGGTTTTCCCATAATGATTATGTGACTACTTGGAAGAAATGCACAGGAGATAATTTTTTTTAAATTCTTGAGGAAAGAACTGGAAGGAGATTAAATACTTTATTAAAAAAACCAGTGGTGAACTTTGCCAAAGAAATGGAATCTCTAGGCATTAGAATAGACCAAAGAGAAACCAGTAACTCCATGAGACAATAAGAAACATTACAATAAAAATAAAAATACAAATATTTAAATAATTAAAGAAAATATAAGATGCCTGACACCAAAAACAAATGACCTAGAAAAAGGATTGAGAGATAATTTAAGAATTATTAAACTCCATAAAAACATAATTTTTTTAAAAATCCTGGACACTATATTTCAATAAATCCTCAATGAAATCTGAGTTGTCATTAATTATCAATAAGAAAGTTCTATAATATTTTGGGGTTTAAAGTAATCACCATAGAATTCTCAGACAGGAATATCTAGAAGACTTCACAATTCATAAGGAATTGCCATTCCTCTTGGACTCAGTACAGGACAATCTCCAAAACTGTGGCAAATATCTTTTGAAAAGAATGCATCTCCCTATTTTATGCCTTGCTCTATACTAATAATCAGGGATAATTTAATCAAATTTTTCTTTTGGTATATAAATCAGTAAATCTTTCAAAATTTTAGCATATACATGGAAGGCACCTTGCTAGAGGGTAGCATTTGAGGCTATATTTTACCTTACCAAGGATTTAAGCTATAATTTGATAGCATTTAAAGCTGTATTTAATTTATCAAGTCAAAACTTTTTTTTAGAATTAGCATTGTGGGATATGATATATTCTCTATACCCTTCAACCATGTTACAGTGAAAATGTAGCCTGATTTATGCTCATTCTTCCAACCTACTTCTTAACTTTGGATTTTATGTTAATGTTGCACTCTGCACACCTTAGGGCAAAGGGGAGAAGGATGATGCCTAGCTTAAATTAATGTCCTCTTAGGTCTTTCATAGCTACTTTCATAGCTCAGGCTGGGAACATGCAAGTCTTCAAAACTGCCAATGATGTGAACCAGAACAAGGCCTCCCTACCCAGATTTGGGTATTTTGGCTTGTCCATGGCTGATTTTAGTGGACTACTGCTAGACTAAGCTAGATCAGCGTGCTGGGAGACTCACCAGGTTCAGATCAATTGAACTGCAGGCTCTTCTTCTGAGACCCTGCCCTGATTATTTCACTGTAGTTTCATACTGGGTTAGAACCTAGAACTAAGCCCCTTCTTTGCTCCTGGGGTTAGATGCACACGGTTAGTGTCCATGCTCTCAACTGCTCCTCTCCACCCTGGATCTGGGGGTAAGAGAGTTGCTAGACAGCACCTTTCCAATTCTCCAAGCCCATTCAGAAGTCCCCTGTGATCTCTTTCTGCCCTGCGCTCCCTGCCCTGGTGCCCAGTCTTGACCCTTTTTCTATACCTAGGTGTTGAAATGCTGCACATCACCTGCTCCTGGCTAGATTTTGACCCTAGTGTCTGAGAACCTACTTCCCTAAGCCACCCAAGGCCAGAAAAATGACTCAGTAGGCCCTTTTCTTGTCTTTCCCAATCACAATTTAGTCTTGGGCATTGTCTTTGTGGAAGAGATACGGTAGAGAACTAGGCTGTGCTTCTTCCTCTTACTCCAACATCTTGACTCTGCCCATCTCCCAAGCCTACTGTAAATCATGACTATTTGTGATGTGCCTTCCTGTTTCCATCTGCTAATTTCATAAAGGAAAGATTTTATAAAGATGTGAAAGTAGGCATATGGATCTGTGGTTATAGAAGTTACTCTACTGCCTTTAAAAATATACAGTATTACCATTGATTTTCTTCCCAATCACACATTATCTTCTCCTCTTTCAGATATCCTGGAAATTGAGCCTTTGACACTTTCAAAATCATGACTTCTACAGCACAGATTTCTTTTGTGTGTACTGGATCTGTTCCAACTGTTCTTCCTATCTTTATCTCCATTAGTGCCAGTTTCACTTTGTCATATACAAAACGGGAGACTGACATGTTAAATACCATTCCCTTGTCATTGATGAAAAAATAGTTAATTACAGAATGGGGACAGAGAGGGAGAGGAAGGGAACATGCACCTACTACTACATGCCAGGAACTATACTAAGCTCTTTATGAATATTATCTTTTTTGATCTTGACAAACCTGTCAGGTAGGTGCTATTATTGATCCCCATTTTACAGTTGAAGAAACTGAGGCAGACAGTGGTTAAGTAACTTGCTCAGGGTCACACAGTTGGATTTCTGAGGCTGGATTTGAACTCAGGTTTTCCTGACTCCAGGCTCAGAGCTCTATTAACTGTACCACCAGCTGCCATATTATTGATGAATGTGTTCCATCTTTCCTCTGTCGTCCTCTTTCCAGTTACAGATACATATTATTGGTATCAATCAATAAGCATTTATTCAGTACCTACTATGTGCCAGGCACTGCTCTAAGCACTGAGGCTACAAAGACAAAAATGAAACAGTACTTACCTTTAAGGAGTTTACATTCTATAGAGTGAGACAGGATTTAAACATACAAGAGTGTTAAAACGTCTACAAAGCAAATGCAAGGTGATTTGAGGAAGGACACTAGGACCTGTGAGGATCAGGAAAGACATCAAGTAGCAGGTGCTACTGAAATAGACGAATCTTGAGAAAACAAGGGATTCTAGGAGGCTGAGATGAGGAGGGTGTGCACGGCAAGTAGAGGGGACAGCTGGTGCAAAGACATGGAGAATGGAAAGGGCGTCATACATGAGCAAGAGTAAAAACATCAATTTGTTTTTGTTTGTTCAATTAAAATTTTTTTTCAATTCAACAAAATTTACCTTTTCTTCCTCCTACCTCTCCCCTCACATACATATACACACAAAACTAAAAAAGAAAAAAAATGGTCTTGTAAAAATCTGTATAGTCAAGCAAAATACATTCCCGCATTGGTTACAACCAGAAAAAAAGAATGCAACTAAGGTTTCACCTCTCTGTCAGGAGGCGGGTAACATATTACATTATAATTCTCTAGAACTGTAGTTGGTCATTGTGTTGACCAGAGTTCTTACGTCTTTCAAAGTTGTTTATTTTTACAATATCATTGTTACTGTATAAATTATTCTCCTGGTTCTGCTCACTTTACTCTGCAGCAGTTCATACAAGCCTTCCCAGGTTTCTCTCAAACTGTTCCCTTTATCATTCCTTATAGCACAATAATGCTTCATCGCATTCATATACCATTACTTGTTCAGTCATTCTCCAATTGACAGGCACCCATTCAATCTCTACCTCTTTTCCACCAAAAAAAAGTCACAATAAATATTTCTGTATATTTGGATCCTTTTCTCTTTCTTTGATCTCTCTGGAGTAAGAAGTCAATTTAAATGGGCTTTAGGGTACATGAAAGGGTATTATGTCAAGGGTGTGTGTGGTACATTTGGAACAGTAGGTTGGAGCCAGGTTGAAAAGAACTTTAAATGACAAAGAGAATAATTTATATTTTATCCTAAAGAAAACAAGGCTTCGGAATTTATTGCCTAGAAGAATGATATGGTCAGACTTGTGTTTTTGGAAATGGAGATAAGCCTGTTATGTAGCAAAAGGAAAGGCTGACAGATGGACAGTCCAACTATCATGCCCTACTGGTAAAAGCACCCAAGTGCTCTACTGGTACTCAAATGATATGAAGAGATCTAGGCGAAGGCCTCAGCAGGTGAACGCCTGTGGAAGATTTATGGGAGTACTTGGACAAAAGTGGTATAAGAGAAAACATGTAACCTGTACTGCTTAAGAAAGTATCCAAAATCCCTCAACAAGCATTTATAAAGTGCTTACTATAGGAGATCACAAATGCACCACAGACAAATTAATAGTTTTTTAAAACTTAAAAGCAGATAGGAAAAATAAACAAGTCCTATATGAGTAGATTGTATTTAGAGACCTGAGTTACATGGCTTTGTAAATAAATAGTTCACAAAAATCTGATCTGTTTGACAAAACTATTGAAAATGATTACACATTTACATATTACTTTTCATACGTATTACTAAAAGTTTAAGTAATGAGGTTTAACACTAATGAGAAATATAAAGAACTAACTCCACAACAAAATAATCTTTTATGTTGGACTGTCCTCATAACCAATGCTATTAAAAGGCTATATTGCTGCTAACATGAGACATGAAGATCATTCAAAATCAAGGAAAAGAGAAGATAAAAATATATATTAAAGCAATCTTGCACAAACACACTTCTTTTATACTTAAGAATTCAACTGAATTCAATAAACCTGTTGTTGCCTACTATGTGAAAGACATTGTGCTAGGCTCTTGGGATACAAAGACAAAAATATAAAAGTTCCTGTCCTCAAAGAGCTTTCATTCTACTAGAGGGATACAACGTGTACCTAGAAAATGACAATGGATTTTGCAATTAAGAGATCATCAATAACCTTGGAGAAGATAGTTGAAAGATTAGAAGTGAAATAAATACCCTTATCATAAAATTCAAGGCAACAATCAACAGTATCTCCAAAATATATTTTTGGGTTTGCTTTCTCCAATTAGGTTTATTATAAAAATGAATTGTCATACAACCAAATCATGTTAATTTTATGAAACAGGTCCTACCCAAAGAACAAGATACTTAAGAGACAACATCTGTTTTTTCCTGTGCTCCATTGTACTTAGCACAATGAAAAAACGTAGTAGTCACTCAAACTTCATTAATTGGCCCCATCACTCCATACCAAAAAAATTCTAAGTGAACTCAATGAAAACTTTCCCAGAATAAAGGATGCAAAAATATTGTATTTCAAGTATGAAAATATTATTTACCTGTTTTTCTTCTTGAATGAAGGTTACTTTTTCACTAACCTTCTTTCTTACTTCAATTTCCTTTAAAAATTTAAATGATTCCAAAGGTTATCAATGAAAGGTTTATAATAAAGAAAAAAAATCCTTTTAACACATTTTCAAAATAGGAACATTCATTATTTCAACCTAAAATTTAACACCATATACTGTCACTTGATTTACCGGTTGATCAATAAATTTGGAGAAATTTACACATTTAGCACCCTATAATATACCACTTACCCATAATTTTTCTTTCTCTGGGGCACTGACTCCTGTGAAATTCAGAAGGTTTCCTGCTATATAGCCTGGTGAAAATGGCAATTGATAATGAAAGTTTGCAGGGCCTCCTAAACCTAAAAGTATCTCTGGACCACTGAAACATCTGAGATGTATGATGCTGTTGTTGGCTTCTAAATTCTTTATATGACCAAATTTTGTTAATCTAGAGTACTGGTTCTCCAAATGTTGTCCAAGGACCCTGGGGGCTCCCAAGGCCCTTTTGGTGGGCCTACAAGATCAAAACTACTTTCAAAATAATACTAAGACATTTTAATAAGTATAATTCACATAAACAAAAGCTTTTTGGTGGGGGGCACTGGTCTTCAATAATTTTAAGAGTGGTCTTAAGACCAAATCTTCTGATCTAGAGAGTACCTCAACTAAAAAAAGTATAATATTGAGAGACTGAGTAAAACAGAACCAAATTATTTTAGCTATAATTATTTCTATTATACATATTGATTTCATACTCCAAAAGATACATAAGCTGTTATAAAACTTTTTTTTAAAAAGCAGCTAAGGAATATCAGCCAAGTGAACACTTTTTTGCTTAAATACCATTCGGAGTTTTTCTTGTAATTCTTGAAATTGCTGTTCCTTTATTGTAAGATTGATATCTTCTCCTTCTGCCCTGTACTGACATGTGATCTTGGACTTTATCAGATCTGTAGTTACTTTCTTCAGTTCCTTAACAAAGGAAAACAGTATTAAATAGTGTATTCAATACAATTATCACATCTCAGTAGCTTCATGTTGACAGTCCTTAAATCTATCTAAAGGAATAATTTGTTGTCTTTCATATATAAAGAAAAGTTCAATCCCCCAGTGCATTTTGAGATGTCTTCCTAATAGTGCTGATCTATCCATACTCTCTCCCTCATTCTCTTCTGATCAATTGCATATGTCTATAACAACGTTAGAGGGGAGGAACACAGCTTCTGCTATGGAGCCAGGCAAAAAGCTTTAATGGCACATACAGGTATCATGAACATGGCCAAATGACCAACTACAGGTAGCATATTGTAGATAAAAAAGGACATTTGTGAAATTCCCTAGCCATTCCTCCCACATTTCCTTTCCCCCAAAGTTCAGCAGATCCCTAGGATACCAAAAATATTTTTATAAATTGTTATGATGTTGATTACATTGCAATACCATTTTGTCTCCAAGTGAATCAATGACTAACAGTTTTTGAGTCAACCAAAGGTAATTCATTAATAATAATAATATCTAGCATTTATATAGTGCCTATTATGTGCCAAGCACTGTGTTAAGCACTTTACAAGTATTACTTCATTTGATCCTCACAACAACCTTGGGGGTAGATATTATTTCACAGTTGAAGAAACTAGGACAAACAGAGTACTTGCTCATGGTCATATAACTAGTAAGAGTTTGAGGCTGGATTTGAACAAGAATAAGAACACTTTAAAGAAGATCAGAACTTTAAAGATGATTTAGTCCAACCCAAATGAATGTGTCATCTTTGACTCCTTTCTCTCCCTACCAAGTTCAATAGTTGCCAAGTCTTACTGATTTTACCTCTAAAATATCTATTTCCCAATTTCCTCCTTTTCCATTCTTACTACTGCTCTACTTCAGGCCTTTATCCCTTCTCACCTGGACCCCTGCAATAATTTCCTGAGTCTCTCTATTTTCTTCCTGCTCCAATCCACCTTACACATTTCTGCCAGATTAATCATCTTAATATGGGTTTATTCTTAACCTCTGATGTATTTATCATATTCTATTTGATGTTGTAATTATTTGTGTATATACTGGAGTCAGAAAACCTGAGATCAAGTCCTTACTTCACCACTTACCAGCTATATGACCTTGGGCAAATCAATCATCCTTGAACCTTAATTCCTGGATGATTTCATCATTTTGAAGATGACAGGAGAAAAGCATGTGAAAAGATTAATGAGAGTGTTAAATCAGCTAGAAGAAATTCAGCTGAAAGTGTTAACTGACCACTGCCAGTTTTAAAGGGCCTCTGTAAAGAATGTGAGACATATAGTGTCTCATGAAGAAATAGTTATGGACCCTCAAATTCTGTTTGGCTTTTATAATTTTTCACAACCTGATGCCTTCCTGCATATTTCTTCCCTCTATATACACGACAGTCCAGCAACACTGGACATCTTGGTGTTCCTCACATCCAACACTCCACCTCCCAACTTCAGGCCTTTGCCCTGGCTGTGCTCCATCCCTAGAATACTGTCCCTTCCTCATCTCCATCTCCTGGCTTCCTTTAATACTCATCTCAGATCCTACTTTCTGCAGGAGGCCTTTCCAAGTGCCTTCCAGGGTAATTTGTATGCAAAATGCTTGATTATTGTCTCTTCCATTATAATGTGAGCTCCTTAAAGGCAGAGACTGTTTTGTCATTCTTTGTATCTTCAGCACTTTGCACAATGTAAGGCACATAATAAACACTTGATAAATGCTTGGTGACTGACTGACCCAGAGAAGATAGAAGTACTCACAGTGTGCCAAATGCATATAACCTAAAATAACTAAGGAATTTTCTGGGATTTAGAGACTATTATCAATAGTTTTTAAGGAATTATGTTATCATCACTAAGTCAATCATGATTGTAGTTTGAGAAGAATCAAAACCAGAAGGGTAAGAAAGGTCAATCTGGCCCAATCCTTGATATTTTTTGGAGATTTCTGAAACAAAAAGTGTGAACAGGCAGGTAAGGACTCCTTTGTCCTGTCACCACCAGGAGCTGTGGGAGTAGATTTCCCCACCCTAGAGGTATTCCATCAAAGGTTAGACAGATGATTGGTTGGAGATCTTGTAGAGGAGATTTAATCTTGCAAAAATATAAATCACAGATTAAAAAGGGAACAAGGCAAAAACTTGTGGATGGTTTTGTCCAAATCCACTCCCAATACATGAAGAATAACTCAATATGCATACTATTTAGATGAAATCATAGTGTCATCTCTATACACAAGAAATAGTGCAATAATTTAGCACTTTTACTGATTTCTAAAGGAGGCAGTTTGCTCACATGGAAAGGACCCTGGATTTTGAATTTGAGGAACTGAGATTGGAACATGGTTCTGCCATTTACTAACTGGGTGACCTTGGGCAACTATCTTCATCTCTCTGAGCTCCATTTTCCTCTTCTGTAAAATGAGGAGGTAGAATTAGATTACTTCAAATATAGTTTCTAGCTCTTGATGACTAATCTAGTCTCTAGATTTAGCATGCATCAAGTCTATTTAGGAGAAGCACATTAGCATAGTAAATAAATTAATAGCAGATATGACATCAGCAAGGCCTTGGTTTTGAAGCACACTAACTTTTGGATCATTTAACGTCTCAGTGTTCTAGGCAGCTCTTTAATATTTTAAGTGACTCAGGTTCCATGTCATGTATTCCTAAGTCACAGCTGAAGACCAAAAATTGATTTCTGATACCTACATAGGCACACTACATGGCACTATTGATGTCAACATATTAAATATCTTTTCAAAGCTTAAAAAAAAGTGTTGAATAGGTTTTTAAGGACTTAATCAACTGACCCCCACATGCATCAGTGTTGGCTTAGGTAGAACCAGGCAAACCTTTTGTGTTCCATGTTGCTAGCCTGGAAGGCATGGGAAGAGTCTTTTTAAATTTTAATTTATATTTATTTTAATTGTATTTATTACTTCTCCTTCCTTCCACTTCTCCCTCCACCCACAAAAGACAAGAAACATGATACCCATTATACATATGAAGTCATGCAAAACATACTTCTATATTAGTTATGTTTAGGGGGGAGAAACAATAAAAATAAAGAAAGGGGGAAAAATATGCTCAAATTTGCAATCTGAGTCTATCAGTTCTCTATCTGGAGGTGGATAGTATTTCACATCATGAGTCCTCTGGAATTGTGGTGGATCAGACTGCTAAATATTTCATAGTTGAATATCTTTACAGTACCTTTATTACTGTGCAGTATGAGAGGAATCTTACACCAGAAGAGTAATAATCACCAGAAACTTAGTGCATTTGCCAGCATAGGACTTATTAACAATATGACTCATTATTGCATGCAAAAACGTTCTTAGTTTTGAAGTAGGTTGTCACTGAAAAATTCAAACAGTGTGGGTATGCAGATCATTTTTAAAAAGAGTCGACAGCAATACATTGATAAGCATTTTTTTTAAGGCAATTGGGGTTAAATGACTTGCCCAGGGTCACACAGCTAGTAAGTGTCAAGTGTTTGGTCTGAGGCTGAATTTGAACTCAGGTCCTCCTGACTTCAGGGCTGATGCTCTATCCACTGTGCTTCCTAGCTGCCCCTGATAAGCATTTTTTCCCCAGTGCTAAGTTGAAAGGTGCCTTTCAGAGACAGGCAATGGCACCAGTAACTCTAAGTTCACCATGCAGTAGGGCAAAATGTTGGTAGCATCAACAAGTAACATTTAGCTCCACGTAATATGATATAGTTCTCTGATGAAACTTCTGCCATTTTCTCAACAGTAGGGTGCCTTCTGAGGAATAAGGTACTTATTAGGTATCTATTATGTGCCAGGCACTGTGCTAGGCCCTGAGGTTACAAGTACAAAGATAACATGATGATTTTTGAAATCTGAGTAAAGAGAAAGCATGGATTGGCATGAAATAAATTTTACTGGACCAAAATAGCAACAGAGGCCTATAAGAAGTGTGAGATATGTTCAAAGCAAAGTGTTACTAACTTATGCTATATATGTTGGAAGTGAAATCAACATACTTTTGGAATGTGTATGCATATTTTTTTATTCTCTCAAAAGAGATAGGAAAAATTAAGCAACATCCTAGTAGTGCAATTAATTACAAGCAAAGATGGTGCAGTGGGAAGAAGCAGTAAAGCCTAGCTCTCCTCACAGCTACTCCAACAAAGATCTTTTTTTTAAATAATATTTTTCCCAATTATATGTAAAGACAACTTTTATTTGCTTAAAATTTTGAGTTCTAAATTCTCTCTCTCACTCCCTCCCTTTCCCCCTCCTTGAAACAGTAAGCAATTTGACACAGTCAAATATATGTCCATTCATACAAAACATTCCAACAAAGATCTAAGAAGAATACCAGAATAAACAGTGATCAGGAAATCTAAAGATAACATACAGGAGATCATTATTCTCTATCCAGAGATCATGAATTCAGCCTATAAGATGGTGATAAAGATAGGACCTGTGGAACAGAGGCAGGCCTGGAGCTCTGTCCACTCTGAACTCAGAGAAGATACCCAAATTCACTCTTGCAGGTAGCCAGCAGCTCTTTTTTTTTTTTTTTGAGGCTACAGGGACTTCTAGCTAGCTAACAGTGATGGAAGCCAGCAACTGTCTACTGGAGCTCTAATCCAGAGGCAAGTCTGTAACTGTGTTGGTTAGACTCAAACTATGGTCTAGACTAGAGCCTAGGAAGTCCAGGAAGGCAATGAAAAACTATATCCTAGTTGGGACCAGTTAGGGCCTTTTAAAAGTTTGAAGCTCCCTAACCTGAAATGCCCTACGATCCTTCAAGAACATGGCACTAAATAATAGGAGAACAAAGCTTCAGAAGAACAGAAAATACAGAACAGGAACATACATGGCTACAATATTCTCTCCAAAAGTTTTCAGAGCCTGGACCTAACACAAAGTTCCAACCTAGAAAGCAAGGCTAGAAGAATTAAAAAAAAAAAAGGCTCCCATGA